CCAAGCAGTCACTCATTCTGTCGTCTAATCGATCAAATATGGACGGCCTCGACGACTTTGAAAAGGCTCTCGCAGCCGAAAAGGGCGAACGAGAGCGCATTGAACGAGAAAAGGAAGAGCGCAGAGAGAGGAAGAAGCAGCGAAGCCACCATCATCACCATCGCGAGCGCGACAGGTCATTCGACAGACACCGGGAACGCGACCGAGACAGAGAAAGAGACCGCGAACGTGATCGCGATCGCGATAATGACCGCCACCGGCATCACAGGTCGCGACGCCATGATGAAGACGAGGAGGATGGGCACAGGCACAAGAGGTCACGCCATTCCAGAGACGACGAGGAACGGCGGTCAAGACGGCACCGGGATAGAGATGATGGGAGGCGCGACGAAAAACACGAAAAGACCTCTGATCCAAAGGAGGATCTCCCTATTCCCGACGAAGAGGCGACCCCAGAAGAAACCAAGACATCCACCCCATTGGTGCGCGACTCGTGGATGACTGCCCCGTCAGCCCTCGATATCGATTACGTCCAACGCAAGGAGAAGGAGAAACCGCCACCGCCAAAGGAGGAGCCCATAAGGGTTGTTCACGAAAGGGAGATCAACAAGGACTTTGACGAAGTCAACGCTGCGTCCACGGACGAGACGCCAAAGGAGAGAAACATCAACTACACTTTCGGGGACAACGGCTCTCAGTGGCGTATGACCAAGCTCAAGGGCGTTTACTCCATGGCGGAAGAGTCGGGGCGACCTGTTGAGGAAATTGCTCTGGAAAGATTCGGCAGCTTGCAGGAATTCGACGATGCTCGAGAAGAAAAGATCGAGATGGATCGGCGCAAGGTTTACGGAGACGGGTACGTTGGTAAAGAGAAGCCCACCGGTGACCTCTACCAGGAGCGCATGGAGAAGCAACGTCCGGAGCCGAAAGAACCAAGTCCCATGGAAGATATTCAGCAGGGCACGGTCATCCCCGACCAGGCCATGCTGCACACTCCCATTGACCAGACTGCGTTGAACCGAATGCGGGCTCAGATGATGAAGGCTAAGCTTCGCCGAGCACCTGATGCTGCCAAGCTGGAAGCTGAATACAATGCGGCCGCTGCTAGTTTCGCAACCAACGGGCCGCAGTCTGTTGTTCTCGGTGTCATGGACAACCGAATGCTGGCAGGAACGCGGGGCGAGGTCAAGTCTATCGAGACGAAGCGAGGCCGTGAGCGCGGCAATGTGGAGGCAAACGAGGACATGTCAATTGAGGACATGGTTCGCGAGGAACGCAGAACTCGTGGCCAAGCGGGCGGCGAGGGCATGCGTCTGGCGGAGCGCATTGCAAAAGATGGCAAGTTCGACGATGATCTCGAATACATGGACGAGAATGCCGAAAAGCTCGCGAAGAGGGTACACAAGTCAGAGATCAACCTCAAGAACGTTGCTGTCAATGAGTATCAGAAGGTGACGCGAATTTTGGACAACTGCCCTCTCTGCCATCACGAAGACAAAGGACAGCCGCCTCTGGCACCAGTCATCTCACTCGGCACGCGCGTATTTCTGACTCTGCCTACGGAACCCGAAATCTGCGAGGGCGGCGCGGTAATTACTCCCATTGCCCACCGCAAGAACTTGCTGGAGTGTGACGACGACGAATGGGAGGAGATTCGCAACTTCATGAAGTCCCTCACGAGAATGTACCACGAAAAGGGCCAGGAGGTCATATTCTACGAGAACGCCGCCGCACCGCAAAGACACCTTCACGCGGCGATGATGGCGGTGCCCATTCCCTACGAGGAGGGTGCCACAGCCCCAGCATACTTCAAGGAGGCCTTCCTCACGACAGACGAGGAGTGGTCGCAGCACAAGAAGATCATTGACACCGGCGCTAGAGCACGCGACGGCATGGGCAGAATGGCCTTCCGCCGGAGCATCGCCAAAGAAATGCCGTACTTCCACGCCTGGTTCACTCTCGACGGCGGCCTCGGTCACGTTGTCGAAAACTCTGACCGCTGGCCCAGAGGCGACTTGTTTGCTAGAGAGATTATTGGAGGTATCTTGGACGTAGCGCCGGACGTGATCAAGAAGCAGGGGCGCTGGAACAAGGGCGATCGCAGGGTTGAAGGGTTTAAGAAGAAGTGGAGGAAGTTTGACTGGACTCGAGTCCTGACCGACGGATAGGCTTGAGAATCAAGTTTTGTTTTCCAGCCACCAGTTTTGATCAGGTAGAAAATTTTAGGCACTGAATAAGATGCCTCGGCTGCAGACCGTGATACTCCGGTCTGGGCCCAGCCTTTGCCCTCATTTCAGAGTCTCCATCCCCACCTGCCAACAGTGACTAGTGGTGATGACCCGGGCAGTTGGAACTTGGCACCCTGGACCATGAGCTGAAGCTGGAGGCACATTGACCGAAATTGCGGGAGAGACCAGGGGCCTGACCCAGGCGCACCAATGGCTGGCCGGCCGACGATGGGGTCGGTTCCCGGCAACCCCGCGATGTATCCCCGCATTCATTTGGGTTACCTTGAGATCTTCCGTCGAGTCGTCACATTGAATTGAGAAAAACAGCGCCGAGCCCCCGTGACAGCTGGACCGCGTCTATTCTGCTCTTGGCATAGCAGACCGGTGGCTCGATGATTGCCGTCATGTGAGGCGGTCAATGAGCCGTTTATTGTGAGCCATATATAATGAGCGACCTCGGCGCAAAGCAACAGAGGACGACGCGCAAGAGACGTGGTACCGCTTCGCCATGATTGCATCGCAGCTTCTCTCCTTGCTCGGCCTCACAGCTCTGGCGGCGGCGGCGCCCGCCCTGGAGGGCAGAAAGTAAGTCGTCTGACACACTCTTGAGCAATTGAGTCTAACAAGAGACAATTGCCAGCCCCCAGAAGCCCTTCTTCTACAAGGGTCACGATCTGAGCTCCCTCAAGATGCTGGAGGAGTCCAACAACATCTTCATCGACACCGCACGAGGCAACGTTTCGCGACCCGCCGACGACATCCTCGCCGACGGCGGCATGAACGGCGTCCGTCTCCGCCTGTGGGTCAACCCTCCCGACGGGACCTATGGCCTCAACTACACGATCGAGCTCGCGAAGCGCTTCCAAAGCAAGGGCCAGCGCCTGTTCCTCGACTACCACTTCTCTGACAGCTGGGCCGACCCCCAGAAGCAGCCCCTCCCCGCGGCGTGGCCGACGGAGGTGGAGCCCCTGGCCGGCAAGCTGCGCGAGTACGTCCGCGAGACGCTCGTCGCCTTCCACGACGCCGGCGTGAAGCTGGACCTCGTCTCCCTCGGCAACGAGATCCGCCACGGCTTCCTCTGGCCGGTCGGCAAGGTCGACGTCGACGTGCAGCCCTGGCCGGCGCTGGTCAAGAGCTTCGCCAACCTCGCGACGCTCTTCAAGGCCGCGCGGGCTGGTGTCAAGGACGCAACGTGCGCCGGCGTGCCCAAGCCCGAGGTCATGATCCACATCGACAACGGCTGGAACCTGACTCTGCAGGAGAGATGGTTCGGGGCGCTCGTGGAGAACGGCGTGCCGCTCTCAGCGTGGGATGCGTTTGGCTTCAGCTTCTACCCGTTCTACGGCACCTCGGCGACGTTCGAGAACATCAAGAATGTGCTCCACACGATGACGAAGAAGTACAAGAAGCCTGCCCAGATTGTCGAGACGGACTATCCTGCCCTATGCGACGGCAGATGGAACCCCATCCCCGAGAGCTCGGAGCCCTCGATTCCCTACAACGTTCAGGGCCAGGTTGAGTGGATGCACAAGACGCTCCAGATTGTGCGTGACGTGCCCAACGGCATGGGACAGGGTCTCTGGTACTGGGAGCCGGTGAGTGAAACTAGTTCCATGTGAACCTTCATCTTCATGCGTAGCATAGCTGACTGATGATAATCAACAGGCGTGGCTCAACAACACTTCGTTGGGCAGCGACTGCAATGACGCCATCCTCTTCGAGCCGGACTACAGTCAGTGGCCGACGACATACGGATACTCTCGCGAGTCGGTCAACGTTTACCTCTGAGGAAACAGAGTTGCGAGGAACTGAATCGGGTGTTGGTAATTGTAATCTGTTGTTTGTGACGATTCGTCTGAACCAAGGGCCGAGAGGAAACAAAAGGGGGGAGGGAAGAAACATTGGAATAGGACGATTACGTGTACCGACCAAGGAGGATCCTGCCATTGGAGACCCTTAATGTTTAAACAAGCTCAAGCCTCAAATTTCGCATGTACGCAGTAGACGACGTACTGCGTAGTGTGAGGACAGCAAGTGAGGTTCAGTGATTGGACGGGGTGGTTGCATGTCTGAGTTTCGGTGGCATGGAGAATGGACGACGTTCCGAGAGGCTGTCAGAAGTCAGTTAGGACGGCGTCCCCAGCACGTCAGCGGCTCTCGTGGCCGCCTGGCAAGCTCAGTAAGGAGAGCTACAGCGGTTACCCCACGATCGGGGCCGGGTGTGAAACAGGAGCATTGATCGGGAAAGAGGTCTTGTGTTTGGGGTTCAATGCGGACTGTTTGCTGGAACGTTGTGAGTGTGGTGGTCCAGGCAATCCCAAGTCTACCTAGGTAAGGTAGGTGGTGTTTCCCGTCCTCTGTCTTCCTCAGCGAGGTTTGTGTGCCGGTCTTCCCCTAGGTAGGCGTTGAGAGAGACAATGGAACATGCGCCGAAGAAGGGACTCGGTGATCGACGCCGAGATGGAGGGGAGGGGGGGGGCAGCACTGTGCGGCGCACTGCTGAGCGGCTTCGGCACGGTCGGGGCCGCCGAGGAGTCCGCCAACAGCCAACGGATTGACCAAATATAGCAACACCTGCACCTGCGAACGTCTGGCTGCTGGACTGGCGTAGGGTGGGTCCACTCTCGGGCGCACAGTGACACAGTGACACAGTGCCAGTGCTGTGGCGCGCCGTCCGAAACTCCGCTCGCCTCGATGTGCCATCAGCGGCATCCAGCACATTTTGCTGTTTCCCTGCATTTCACTTTCGCCCCAGTGTTTTTCCTTCCAAATTCAATGCCCAAGAGCAGAAAGCGCTGGGCGTTCTTGAAGCACGCAAAGCCGCAAAGCAGCAGCACCAACACCACCACCATTACCACCACTTTCGGTCAATTAGGTTGCGTTCTCGGAGACCCTGCAGCTAAGGCGCACCTGTTGGCACCTTCCTTGCAGAGCCAGAGGGAGGGCATGAGTTTTTGATTCCTTGCGTGTTTGCCTGGCCAGGATTGTTTGGTTTCCTTGCCTTGCTGCTGCTGCGGCACATTATCTGCTCCATCTTTCACACCTTGCCGATTCTCCATCTTAAACCACTCGGCTCCTACATCCCTTTCGCCAAGTGGTGATTACTTTTTCTTTCCTCACTCTGCTCTCAACATCTCCCTTTTGTTACCGTGCCCTCTCGTAATACCCGCGAAAGGAGGTGCCACCCGCTGGACCAAAACCTCCGGTGCCTGACGCCTGCAGACACCACCTACCTTACCTTAGACAGCCAGCGACATCGACCAATCATCATCGTCCCGTCCAGCGCCAGCGCCACCCAGCGAATCTTTGGCTACTGTGTCGTCATCGCCCTTTTCGAAGCCCCCAGAAGCATCAGCAAAACGCCGCTGCAGATTTCCTTCCTTGCCTTATCAAGCCAACAGCGATAGACAAGACCGGCCCCAGAGGAACCAGACCCTTCGGCCTGCTCATTATTTGCACCCTTTGCCCATTTGTTACCTCACTCTGAGGAAATTAGGAGCTGCTGCCCCGGGCGCACCTTGTCGAACCGCGCCCAGCTTAAGACAGAAGAAACCCGAACCGTCCACCGCCCTCCATAAGATCCATCGCCATGTCGTGGGAACTCTCTCGCGGTCGCATTGTGCGAGCCGTCAACGGCAAATACCTTTACGGACGTCTCGTATGCCATCCCCCGTTCCAGTATCCCGTAACAACAATTACCTGCACCTCTACATTGCCCGTTTCATACGGTTCCCGTCCCCATACCTTGACATTCCTGAGCCTGAATCGCCTGTCTTGTCCATCCATCCCGTCCCGCACTCGCGCTGCCTTCCACCTTGAACCAGCCGCGAACGAAATCGTATCCTCAAACGTTCTCCGACTGACTTGATATTGCTGCTACTTAGCCACTGCTTCACGCAGTCATCTTCTTTATCGAGATGGCGCTCGTCGCCAGGTTGACTGCCCGTTTCAACCAATACTACGATGAACGTCCACGTACGTCTCACAACCCTCACACTCGGGCATTTCGCCATCCTCGACTCACGCAGCTTTACTGACACTTTGGCCGCAGTACTGACCATGATGGTGACCAACGCCATCCTCGGTGGCATCGCCGACACTACCGCCCAGACCATCACTGCCCTGCGACAAAAGGCCATCCGCAAGCCTGGAGGAGTGGACAAGGACGATAGGGTCGCCATCGAGATCCACGACCTCGACCGAAAGAACCCCTTCTCGGATAAGGACCTGATTCCCAACTCGGGCCTGCTGCCTCCCCCCTTCGACTTTGAGCGCCTCACTCGCTTCATGGCCTATGGTTTCGCCATGGCCCCGCTGCAGTTCCGCTGGTTCAAGTTCCTCTCCACGGCGTTCCCCATCACCAAAAGCAGCGCCTTCGTCCCCGCGATGAAGCGTGTCGCTTTTGACCAGTTCATCTTCGCACCCTTCGGTATCGCCTGTTTCTTCACCGTCATGACCGTTGCCGAGGGCGGTGGCCGCCGCGCCGTCTTCCAGAAGCTGCGCGACATGTACGTCCCGACGCTTAAGGCCAACTTTGCCGTGTGGCCCGCCGTCCAGATTATCAACTTCCGCCTCATGCCGGTGCAGTTCCAGCTAGTAAGTGGCAGTCCCACCATCCTTGAGTTCCTACCTCGTACTTACACGCGTTGCAGCCATTTGTTTCCACCATCGGTATCGCATGGACCGCCTACCTGTCCCTCTCCAACTCTGCCTCTGAAGTTGACAACCGACCCGCGGCCCGCGACGACGACCACATCCGTCTTAGCTAGACGGCTTTATATAAGCACATACCATGATTGGTTTCGTCTGCCGGTTGGCACGGGCTGGGACAGGTCGCAGGTCGCACACCGCTGCAGGCATATCTGGCGTTTAAGGACCTGGGAGGGTTGAATCGCTTCGTTCGATCGTTACAAAAAAGCACCGGGTGCTCCGAAAGTGCTACAGGCGTTCGGTGTTACGACATGGACCTACCGGGAAAAGAGGGGGTTCTTGCTCTTTGTTTGATGTCAAATTTCTTTTGTAAAAAACAGCAATAAATTGCAGTCCCTAAAAGAACTTGGTGCGGTGCTGATATCTCGTGGTTGTGTAAGAGCGTGGTCTGAGAAATGTGGTAAGCCTGCCATGCGTGAAGGAGGCGGCGTATCTCTCGGTCTTATTGAGGCTCTCTGATAATGCCAGCGACAACCCCTTTGGCAACCTGGATAGCCCCCAATTTCGGCAGGTTCTTCAGTTGTACATCCCAAAGAGCAGTTGAACAGGATCTGGTTGTCCAATTGCAGCGGCGAAACAGGAAACGAGCGGTTCAAAACGCTGCATGCTCGTCTCGCGATGGTGGCTATCCCGGCAAGGGAGGTCTTGGAAGACAGAGCCGGGGGGTTGCAGGTGCTAAGAATGTGAGCTGAGGCAGCTTATCAGACAACCATCACGTCACAAACAGGGGCGGGGCAGCTCCCACCCTGCTGCCGCCAATGTCCCCGGGCCTGCACCTCAGTGGAAAGCTGCTGCTGCAAGCTGTGAATGGAAGCACCGCCTGGGCCGTACAGCCAGAGGCTACCTAAGGTAGAGCAGGAGCTCCCCACTAAGACAAATCAACCCCGCCAACAAGCCAAAAAAAAAAAAAAAAAAAGTCATGCAAAACACCCCGCCAGCACAGAGCAGCAAGGCACCCCACCATTCGAAGGTCCCTCTCAACGTTGTTGAACCACTGAAGGTGACTGGATTGACTGGACGGTGACCTGACACTTTCTGAAGGTAGCAGGTCCAGGTCCAGGTCCAGGTCCTGCGTGTTTTTCCTGCGCCGGTTGTCCAGTCCATCCATCCACGCCATCCCATCCCATCCCATTTCCTAAATATACCTCACAACCTCTTCCACTTCTTCTCTTCTTCTTTTCCTTCAACTCTCCTACATCACCAATATACCCAATTGCAACCATGTCTCTCTCCAACAAGCTCGCCATCACCGACGTCGACCTCAAGGGCAAGCGCGTCCTGATTCGCGTAAGTCAACGATACCAGCCTGCCATCACCCTGACACTGCTCTGCCCCGCGTATCTCCTGCGTGCTCTGCAGCACCAGTGGTGGCCGTTACCCCACCATGCCGCCCTCACTACGCTTGATCCCGGGTATGACCTCAGACCCGGTTCCGTATTCTGGCGATGAGTACGGGACGGTCCGCGGTTATTGCACCCGGAGCAGTCTTTAACCGCGGAAGCATTGCAATTCCACATTGAATCCGTTCAATCAGAAGCCTGCTGTGACCCCAGTAACTGACAGACCCCTTCCACAGGTTGACTTCAACGTCCCTCTCGACGCCGACAAGAAGGTCACCAACACCCAGCGTATTGCCGGTGCCGTCCCCACCATCAAGTACGCGGTCGACAATGGCGCCAAGGCCGTCGTCCTGATGTCCCACCTGGGCCGCCCCAACGGCCAGGAGAACCCCAAGTACAGCCTCGAGCCGGTCGTTCCCGAGCTCGAGAAGCTGCTCGGCAAGTCTGTCCAGTTCGCCAAGAACTGCGTCGGCCCCGACGTCGAGGCCCTCGTCAACAAGGCCGAGAACGGCCAGGTCGTCCTGCTCGAGAACCTGCGCTTCCACATTGAGGAGGAGGGTTCCGCCAAGGACAAGGACGGCAACAAGACCAAGGCTGACAAGGCCAAGGTCGAGGAGTTCCGCAAGGGCCTCACTGCTCTCGGTGATGTCTTCATCAGTACGTCGTTCCTCGACACAGCATCACGCCACACCTTCTGAATCCATACTGACTTGTGCCAGACGACGCCTTTGGCACTGCTCACCGTGCCCACTCCTCCATGGTCGGTGTCGACCTCCCCCAGAAGGCCTCTGGTTTCCTCATGAAGAAGGAGCTCGAGTACTTCGCCAAGGCCCTCGAGAACCCTCAGCGCCCCTTCCTTGCCATCCTCGGCGGTGCCAAGGTTTCCGACAAGATCCAGCTCATCGACAACCTCCTCGACAAGGTCAACACCCTCATTGTCTGCGGTGGCATGGCCTTCACCTTCAAGAAGACCCTTGAGAACGTCAGCATCGGCAACTCCCTCTTCGACGAGTCCGGTGCCCAGACCGTCGGCAAGCTCGTCGAGAAGGCCAAGGCCAACAACGTCAAGCTTGTCCTCCCCGTCGACTACGTCACCGCCGACAAGTTCGACAAGGACGCCAACACCGACTCTGCCACCGACGAGTCTGGAATCCCTGACGGCTGGATGGGTCTCGACTGCGGTCCCAAGTCCATTGAGCTGTACAAGCAGGCCATCGACGAGGCCAAGACCATCCTCTGGAACGGCCCCCCTGGTGTCTTCGAGATGGAGAAGTTCGCCAACGGCACCAAGGCTACCCTCGACGCCGCCGTCGCTGCCGCCGAGGGCGGCAAGATCGTCATCATCGGCGGTGGTGACACGGCCACCGTTGCCGCCAAGTACGGCGTTGAGAGCAAGCTCAGCCACGTCTCCACCGGCGGTGGTGCCAGCTTGGAGCTCCTCGAGGGCAAGGCCCTCCCTGGTGTCGTTGCTCTGTCGAGTAAGTAAACAACTCCTCGCCAGCGTAGAAGATGTGGCCCCGCTCTATGGGACTTGATCGGTCTGATAGATGGGATTAAAAGGTCGAGCTGGCAAGCCCAGTCTCTAGGCCCGGGTGATCATGCATGGATATGAAAGAGAGGTACGCCCGCAAAATAAGAGGGCGGTGATGATGAACGTAATGCCCCGTGTCATGTCCTAGAAACCGTCACGAATACCAATAAAAAAGTAAAAACATACAACCACGTCTGGTGCCAAAAGAAAAACCTGTGCTCTTGTTTTGAATTTCATTACTGGTGTGCCGCCAGTCGTCTAGAGCTTGTACGTAGTCTATGTCCGTAGTTTCACCCCAGCCAGTCTGGTCCAAACGTCATATCGGCATTCCCCTCTTCCTCACAACAGTCCCCATCGCGTGGACTAGATCAGCGTCGCTTGTTGGCCTCGACCTTCTTCAGCTCCTCCCTGGAAGGTAATTAGTATCGCGCCGTATGCCTTGGTGGGTAGGTCCCATACTTCAACTGTGCGGAAAAGT